CCTTTTCATGCATCTTTTTCACACATGCTGCGTAACTTTCAGACTTAGGTCACTCAAGGTTAGGTCATCAGGTTACGTCCAAGTGACCTTACCTCAGGAAAAGTTATAGTGCCCGTCATAGCTACACAGACTGAACAATCGGTTTAAAACGTGCAGCGTTTGATAAGAGCAACAGTATATACGTAGAGTACCTCTACCTCGGAATTTCAATCAGTGGCGGCGGAACACCTTCAATTAAAGGGGGGCACTGCCGACTTTTGGTCCCATTCTTTCCATGCAACGCGCATAGGGCGTTGCATTGTAAGGGCTATGTTAAAATGCCAAAATTAAAGGGGGCACGGTGCCCCGGTGCCCCCTCGTTCCGCCGCCTATGATTTCAATATCACTTGCTTGCTCAATGCTCATTGCTCAGCTCGTATTGTAAGAGCACTGCGGCACAGCATAGATGCAGGCGTTTTGCTACTGCCATCTATGGGTGAAAGATGAAGATAATGGTTATTGCGGTACAGTATTACTGCAGGCGCAAACAACGTAGAGAACAAAGATGCCTATGCTGCGCTGGCCGGCGATTGAGGCGTAAATTTGCGTTGCTGCCGTAGCAAAAAGTTTAGGAGCCCGAATTTGACAAAATAAATTATTTGCCGTGCTGGTGGTCTGAGGTCGCAAAATCAACAAAGCCCTAGGTCAGTGATATTGAAATTTCGAGATAGAGGTAGGTACTCTACGTATATACTGTTGATCTTATCAATTGCTGCACGTTTTAAGCCGATTGTATAGTCTGTGTAGCTATGACGGGCATTATAATTTTTCCTAAGGTAAGGCCACTTGGACGTAACCTGGTGACCTAACCTTGAGCGACCTAAGTCTGAAAGTTATGCAGCATTTATGAAAAAGATGTATGAAAAGGTGTGCCAAAAACGGCGGCGCTACACAACGCCGTTTTCGAGATATTTACATGTAAATCCACATAGGGTGTCTCAGTCTGTCCAATCATCCCCACCGCCCGGCGCGGATAATTTTTTTGCACGTGCAGAGCGCACCTTTGGGGGCCACCAGGAGATGGATATGCTCAAAACTATGCTGGAATACATTCTGGGTGGCCTGTGTAAATTTGGCACTTTGAGCTTGCCAGCGCTACCCGCCCTACCCGCATATATGTGACACCTGGAGTGCAACATCAAAAGGTTTGCACGTACACAGCACGTGCACCGTGTACCCCAGCACGCCTATTTGTACAGCGCCTCAAAGCGTGTGTCCAGTAGTGTCAGTGTGCCAAATTTGGTGTGCCTAGGTCAAGGTTTTCCGGAATCGGAGGATGCCTCCTCAAAACACGTTTTTCGCCACTAGCGCGTGCATTCCGCACCCCCTGATGCCGAACATACCATATGTTAGTGGTCGAACACTGGGACATGTGACCTGGGAGTTTGGCACCTGTGCCGCCCTTCGTTTGATTTGAAGCGTCGCTTAAAGGTTTTTGCCCTTTGTAAGTTTGTCGGCACGTGGCACGCGCCATGTGACACCGGGTGACATGTGACATCCATCATCACCTGCCTCAAGGAATTACCCGTCGAACGGTACCACCAGCATCTCGATCCGATCATCCATTTGGACGCAATTCTAATTGTATTGGCTCGATGACCTTCCAGAGCACGGTTTTTTGGCAACGTAAAATGGCGCCTTGTCGGCTTCGCTATCTTCCATAGGAGGTCCATTGGGATTGTCAGTCCAGTTTATTTATACGTCCGTGCTTACAGGGGTCATTTCCTCCTATATTAAAAAATAGAAAATATTTTTTTTTATAAAAGGTTTTATTTTCTTTGCTGATCATTTTGAGCATAAAAAATCATAAATCCATTGCAAAAAAGTAATTTCGTGAAAGTGAACTATTTCCTTTAACGGAAATTTCTGAGTATGAGCGGCCGGCCGGCCGGCCGGCCGTGGTCACGCTTTTGCGACGCTTATATCTCAGCAACCACTTGACCGATTTACATGCGGTAATTTTTGTAGGGTAGCTTCATTCCTTCTACCAAGTATTGGACTATTCCTGATGCATGCGGGTGACTCCTTATGCACGTGCCACGTGCAAAACGAAGAGGTGTCACTTTTGTAATAGTTGCAATATCTCGGTAACTACTGGGCCGATTGCGCTGAAAGTTGGCATGTAGGTAGGCACCTACTAGGCAATGCATATCCATGTGCCACAGTTGGGGTGCTGCTGCACGTGCGCACGTGCAGGGGTCGATTCCAGATCTCGAGAACGGCTGGACCGATTGCGCTCAAATTTGGTACACGGTTACGGAGCAGTTAGTAGGGTGCCGTGCACAAGTCAAATGGGACCCATTTTGCACGTGCGCACGTGCAGGGTGCCGCTTCCAGATCTCGAGAACGGCTGGGCCGATTGTGCTCAAATTTGGCATATCGCTAGAGACCGGTTAGTAGGGTGCCGTGCACATGTCAGTTGGAGGTAGGGGAGAGTGGGGCAAAGCGGCCACCCGAGGCAAAGCGGCCACCCATCGTTTTAGCCCTTCATAGCTGGCGTCAGTTCCAATTTATGGTTTCCAATTATACTTCTCTTCACGGTCGTTCGAATGAGCCAGACCGGGGTTTCAGGCCCATCACCATTGTTCTGTGAAACACGGAAAAGCATTTCTTGCCAGGTTACCAACTATGTTTAAAATTTTTAAATGTTATGTTATTTCATAACCGTTTGGAATTTTTATAAGCGTTCTTGTCCATGCATTGCATGGTTATCGTACATGTATTCTACCAATTTTAATATTTTTTACCCCACTAATAGCTAAGCTGGAATCTTTTTGTCTCGGACGGTATGCGCGGGGCAAAGTGGCCGGGGCAAAGTGGCCACCCCCCAATTGGCCATAAGTTGTTTCCATCTGGATAAAAAACATTATTTTTATTCAAATGTGTCGTCATGCATTCATCTTGGCCACTTTTCAGTTGTATGAGTTACCAAATAATTACGGAGCGAGCGAAGCGAGCGTAGTCTTTCCTTAGATTAACGGAAATTTCTGAGTATGAGCGGCCGGCCGGCCGGCCGGCCGGCCGGCCGTGGTCACGCTTTTGCGAGGCTTATATCTCAGCAACCACTTGACCGATTTACACGCGGTAATTTTTGTAGGGTAGCTTCATTCCTTCTACCAAGTATTGGACTATTCCCGATGCATGTGGGTGACCCCTTATGCACGTGCCACGTGCAAAACGAAGAGGTGTCAGTTTTGTAATTGTTGCAATATCTCGGTAACTACTTGGCCGATTGCGCTGAAAGTTGGCATGTAGGTAGGCACCCACTAGGCACTGCATATACATGTGCCAGAGTGCGCACGTGCTGCTGCACGTGCGCACGTGCAGGGGTCGTTTCCAGATCTCGGGAACGGCTGGACCGATTGCGCTCAAATTTGGTACACGGTTAGGGACCGGTTAGTAGGGTGCCGTGCACAAGTCAGTTGGGACCCATTTTGCACGTGCGCACGTGCAGGGTGCCGCTTCCAGATCTCGAGAACGGCTGGGCCGATTGTGCCCAAATTTGGCACATCGCTAGAGACCAGTTAGTAGGGTGACGTGCACAAGTCAGTTGGAGGTACCCCCTCGCAATTTCGCACGTGCAAGGCCCACCCTCTCGCTCGCTCCGTTAGTCGCCCCAAAAGGCGTTATACTGGTGCAATTAAATGTTTTTTTCATGAAAATCCTTTCTTTGTTTACCTACAGGTGGGATGCTGACAAAGCAAACATCCATCCTCGCTTAAACCTTGTCACCATCAAATACCCTAGTCGTACATGAGGCAACTATTTTGTTTCTCATATCGGGACTTGAGAAGACGCCGGTGGCCCCTTTGCCCCAGGGTATGGGGCAAAGTGGCCAATATGCATAGGTTTAAAGTTTTGTCAATATCTTCCATATGTGAACGCCTTTGGAAATAAAACGCAGTTGAAATAAAAGGCAACTTAATAGGGATCACATTGGTATAGAAAGAATCTTTTCAAGTTTAAAGATCAAGCGTTGGCATCGTGAGAAGCGTTAGGGTGGCCGCTTTGCCCCACCCTCCCCTACCCCCTCGCAATTTCGCACGTGCAAGGCCCACCCTCTCGGTCGCTCCGTTAGTCGCCACAAAAGGCGTTATACTGGTTAAATTAATGAAACGCGAATTAATTCAGCTTTTGATGAAGATTGCGAGTAAAAATGTTTTTTTTTTACGGAGCGAGCGAAGCGAGCGTAGTCTTTCCTTAGATTAACAGAAATTTCTGAGTATGAGCGGCCGGCCGGCCGGCGTGGTCACGCTTTTGCGAGGCTTATATCTCAGCAACCACTTGGCCGATTTACACGCGGTAATTTTTGCAGGGTAGCTTCATTCCTTCTACCAAGTATTGGACTATTCCTGATGCATGTGGGTGACTCCTTATGCACGTGCCACGTGCAAAACGAAGATGTGTCACTTTTGTAATAGTTGCAATATCTCGGTAACTACTGGGCCGATTGCGCTGAAAGTTGGCATGTAGGTAGGCACCTACTAGGCAATGCATATCCATGTGCCACAGTTGGGGTGCTGCTGCACGTGCGCACGTGCAGGGGTCGTTTCCAGATCTCGAGAACGGCTCGACCGATTGCGCTCAAATTTGGTACACAGTTAGGGACCGGTTAGTAGGATGCCGTGCACAAGTCAGTTGGGACCCATTTTGCACGTGCGCACGTGCAGGGTGCCGCTTCCAGATCTCGAGAACGGCTGGGCCGATTGTGCCCAAATTTGGCACGTCGCTACAGACCGGTTGGTAGGGTGCCGTGCACAAGTCAGTTGGAGGTACCCCCTCGCAATTTCGCACGTGCAAGGCCCACCCTCTCGCTCGCTCCGTTAGTCGCCCCAAAAGGCGTTATACTGGTTATTAATTTCTTATATCATTGAATTAGTTTTTGTAAATAAATTAACTACAAACGCCTCTGTGCAAAGTGCTTCAAGAATAAATCAAGGCTTATGAAAATCGTGAGCAGGGTTGGGAAAAGCAGGAAAAACGATCACGTGACTAGTGTCCCAACCTTATCTATAAGAATCTTGGTACCATACCATAATAATATCATAACGCTCCAAAATAATATTCATCGCCTTAAACTTAACAGCGTCACCGCACAACGCCCACGTTCCGTTGGTGACAAACACCATACAAACACGCACTGACGGCTTCATGTCACTTCATGAACTCGACAAACCCGCGTTGCTAGGCAACCGAAACAGTTGATGCGTACTCTTATCGCCCGCGTCCTCTTACCAGCCCTTACCCTATTACAGTTGTAGCTTTGGATTTAAGTTGTAACACACCTCAGCCCGTGCTCTCAGCTTATGGTGCTTTGTGTGTAGGCATCCAGCTGTCTGGTCTGGCTACTGCTCGCTCTAACTGTACGTTTGTTGCAGGAGTCCCTTGCGAGGCAAGTTGGGAAATCCGTTCAAGTTCTCAAAAAAAGAAAAACGAGAAAAAGACAAGCAGAAGGAACATAAGGAAAAGGAAGTGAAGGTAAAGGAAGTAAAGGAAAAGGACTTCAAGGCCCGAAAAGACGCAAGAGAACTTTTTAAAGAAGAGAAAATGAAGGAAAAAGAGAAACACAGGGAGGAGAAACTTAAAGAGAAAGAAAAAATGAAAGAGGAGAAAGAAAAGACAAAGGAGAAAGTCAAGGAACGACCCAGAGAGGAGAAGCCCAAAGAAAAGTCAAAAGAGAACAAAGAACTAAAACATAAAGAATTTTTTAAAGATGCCCCGGTAGGGCGGCAGAAAAAGAAAAAAGACCAAACCAAAGGCAATGAACGGAAAAAGTCTGTTTCAGGTAAGCTGTTAATTCAGAAAATTGTTGGCGTTTACATAACTTAATAAATGCATTCAAGTGCGTTTTTATTTTGCGAAAAATATATGTGTTAGTAATTTGTAAATCATCTGCACCTGAACATGCATGCATCTTAACATTTTTTTTCTGACACAACATATGTGACATCGTAGATATACAGGGCCCAATCTTACCAAATGCCGTGAATGCGCATTCACGGCATTTGGTAACATTCAAAACTATTCAACATTCATTTATTCATTCGTTCGGGCAACATTCATAATCATTCTCGCTATGAAAATCATTGGATAAGATTAGCTGGGTGTAAATGAAAGGGATGTCATTGATATCAGTGCCATAAACTTCGGCCAGTGCTGCCAAATCCTATTCACGGCATTGGTAAGATTGGGCCCAGGATCCGGCAAAAGTTGTGTCCTCTTCCTGTTACAACTTTTATCAGGTACCTACCTAATCGTTTCTACCCCTAAGGGATAACGATTCTGACTGCGAACGGATCTCGGGTCACGTGCAGGGCATCATCTAACATGTTAACTGGGGGGGGGGGGCAGTTGCCTCCCCAGTGGAGCGGATTTCCCCCCCCCCGTGGCCAACACCTGCACCCCCAGTCAAAACGTGAACTTCTCATAAAATTACCTTCTCTGCAATACTTTTCTGTTAGGAGTCTTACATGGTTTTAACGAGAAACATTAAATAATTTGTTCAATTATTGAATTGAATATTACAGTGTAATATCCCGGTTGAATATTACAGTATAATAACTGTTCAGTGTTCATGGCTACGGGAAAAGCCAAGATTTTGTGATTTTCAGAGCTGGGCCCTGTTTCACGGCACTCCGCTTCAGTGCGCTTCACTGAAGCGGTGAGTAAAAGGGAACCTCCGATGCTAAGATATGACGTCATCACAAAACGCCAGCGCGCTGTATTATATTGCTTGCAGGATTGTTTCGAATTGAAATATGGCCGTTACATTTTATGTTTGTATTCCCCGACATACCTATCTCAATGCCAAGCAATGCCTACTGCAAGCAATATAATACAGCACGCTGGCGTTTTGTGATAACGTCATGCCTTAGTATCGGAGGTTACCGCTTCATTGAAACGCGCTGAAGCGGAGTGAAGCAGCGTGCCGTGAAACAGGGCCCAAAGAGCGCCGAGTAGCAAATTGTCAATTGGCAGCTGGCCAGCGACCCAACTGGTGTTTGCAACCCACAAACCCAATGAAACGCCCAACACGGATAAGAATGACTATCACTGTCTGGTGGGTCAATGTGAAGGGGCAACACACTAATGTTAACCCTCGCCCGTATTGTTGTTTTTTTTTTCCCAGCCGCAAACGCATAGTGGGGGGGGGGGGGGAGGGTCCGTTTGACCCCTTTGCCGTTTCGCCCCTGGTCGAGCTAGAGCTTCGCGGAAAAAAACGACCGCGCTGCCAGTGACGAGAGGAGGCCGATGCTACCTAATTTTAAGATCCTTACTCCTTAGTCATCAGTTGACCTTTCAGGTCAGGTCAATGACCCAAAAGTCGGGAAAATCGGGACCTGTTAGATTCGGCGTATGTCGGCTCGCATTAGCCGCGCGTTTGCGCTCTTTTAAGTGGTTTCAAGCAATCAAACGTGGGATGTGTTGCTGCTCCCATGCATTAGAGTGGATGTCAAGGTCACCGGAAGGTCAGGTCAGGTCATTGACCTTCGATGACCTCGGTTCACTTTTTTGAGTTTTACATGTTTTTAGGCTGGTTTTTGGAGCTGAGTTCGAATTTAGCAACCATTTGAACAATTACGAAGAAGTTTTGGTGCCTTCGTAACATGTTACGAAGCTGTCGGAGGCGGTTGCCACCTACTACGAATACCCGGCAAAACCCTTACTGGTTGACCTGACCTGATCTGACCCGACCTGGCCTAAAAACATGAAGACATCATCTATGATCATAATTAACATGATATTCGTGATCAGCACCCCGAAAAAAATCATAGCAGCCACCCTTTATCACGTTCTAACAGGTCCCGATTTTCCCGACTTTTGGGTCATTGACCTGACCAGAAAGGTTAACTGATGACTAAGGATCTTAAAATTAGGTAGCATCGGCCTCCTCTCGTCACGGGCAGCACGGTCGTTTTTTTCCGCGAAGCTCTAGCTCGATCAGGGAAGAAACGGCAAGGGGGTCCAACGGACCCCCCCCCCCCCCTTTCTCCTTATGCGTTCGCGGCTGGAAAAGCAATACGGGCGAAGGTTAACATTAGTGTGTTACCCCTTCACATTGACCCACCAGACAGTGATGGGGGGGGGGGGGGCAGATTCTGCCCCTCCCCCTGTCTAACTTCCGAAGCGATGGTCGTAGAAAAACTGGGAAAACGGCAATCGAAAGCTCACCATAAGGCGGATCTTAAGAGCCGTTTTTTTGCTTAAGTAAATCAGAGGTCAGGTCAAGGTCAGGTCAAGGGTACAAAATGCAAGTTTCTTCAGTATCGGCCTTGCCTCGTAGTTGCCGAAGAATGGATTGAGACTGATTGCCCAAAACGTGTTCTTAGGCTACCAAGACAATATTCGTTGCATACAATATCATGAAAATGTCAGGTCAGGTCATCAAAAACGAAATATAGAAAAGGGAATGTGCGATACATGTTTTATGGGTTATTTTATTCATATAATTCAAGAGACAAACTCAATGAGTGATATGGATCACATCTGGATGAATGTTAGGTCGAAGACAGATCAAGGTCACGTCATGTGAGGTCAAATTTTGAAGTTGGTTTTTAAGACCTAAAAAGGTGTCTACATGTATCTGTATCTGATGCAGTTTTTGACGGCGAATCGAATGGTGCTATTTTTGTTTCCGTACAAGACCTAGAACTTCCAAAAAAAAATCATTTTTTTTTCAAAATTTTTGTGTGTCAAGACGTCATAAAATTTTGAATAACTCTCACATTTTTGAACCGATTCTTCTAAAAATTGGTATGTAGGTTCACATAGACCACTTCTCTGACATATATTCCGTTTATTTCGATACACTCAAAATTTTGGATTTTATAATGATTTTCCCAAAAAGGTCAGTGTTTAAAGAAAAAAAAAATTGGGCCAAAATCGAAAGTTTTCAACAACAGAAAACGAGATAACCATTGGATAGACAAAAAATAATCACGTAGAACCTTTTTTTGTTACGTCTTGATTCCTTTAAAAATGAAGATGTTAGCGGCGTTTGAAGTTTTGCCCTTTTGAGGCGAAAATGGCTGACATGCAGGGAACGTGTTAAATTGATGTATGATAAGGTACTGAAAGTTTGACGTCGCTGGCGTAACGCGTTTAGAAGTTATTGGCGAAACATGGGAGGGGGCAGATTCTGCCCACCCCTCAGCGGGGCGTGGGTTTTAACCCGCGCCCTGCTGGGGGGGGGGGTGTTTGAACACCCCCCTTGTGGTTTTTCGCGAATATCCGCCGCTGTTTTTGGTACACCTTATCATACATTAATTCTACACATGTTGTGTAAATTTCAGACCAAGGTCATTCAAGGTCAGGTCACCAGGTCACTTGAAGTGACCTCACCTCATAAAAAGTTTCAATGTCTGCCATAGCTACACCGAGTGACCGATCGCTTTGAAACTTTCAGCGATTGCTAAGAGCAACAGCATGTACAAAACGTATATCTCAGAATTTTGATATCGATGACCTAAGGTCAGGTCAATTTTGCGACCTCCCCATTATAAGTCAATGGGAGAAAATTGAAATGCGCCTCTTTTGGATGAAAGACATTATAAACACTCCCAAACACCGAATTACAAGTGGATTAGACACACTGAACATGAAAATGGTGTCCGTGACCTTTGTTTATGCCCTGAGGTCATCTTAGGTCACGAATGGTATCTAACAGTTTTTCGCAAATAATTTTTGATAGAGGCATGCTAGAGCGATGAAAACGCCTTAGATGTGTTCAGCTCGACTATACGGATCGACTGATATGCAACATGACCCTTTCCGGTCAGGTCATGACCTTGACCTGAGGTCAAATTTTCAAGTTGACCTTTCAAGGTCAAGTTATAGTTCATTCGATCCGTCTTGATGAGAGGAACACGATGCCGGTAAAAGTAAGCTCGTACAAGGCTTGGGTCAAAAGTTATTGCCGAAAACTGTTTCCGAAAAAAATCGGTTATTTTTGCAGTTTTTGCCCCCTGCAGGCAAAACCGTTGACGTTAGGTCAAATTTGAGATAATTACTCAGAAAGGGCGTTAATAGGGCTATCAAATGCGCTTTTCCGCGGTGCTGTAGCTCTATTGGTTCCCGAGTTATGCGTTGGCTTCTTGGAAATTTTTATATTCGACCTGGAAATCGGCGAACTTTGGCCTTCAATGACCTCTGGTGACCTGACCTTTGACCTGACCAAAAAAATTGACCGAAGTGATTTCGTCATTATTTTTGACGCTCTTTCGAACGCCGCCTTCCGCGTATCGCTACGTGGCCCAGGAGCCGAGTTACAAGGGGGGTGTTCAAACACCCCCCCCCCAGCAGGGCGTGGAAATCCAGGACCCCCAGCAGGGCGCGGGTTAACTCACGGCTTCAGTAAAGCGCGCTGAAGCAGAGTGAAGCGGCGTGCCGTGAAATAGGGCCCAGCTCTGAAAATCACAAAACCCTGGCTTTTCCCATAGCCATGAACACTGAACAGTAAGGCTGAGCTACACTATGCGTGACCGTCCAGGAAATTACGTGCGTGATCTGCAGATCCGTGATTGCGAGACTCGCTTGACATCGGTTTCTACGATTTTCCAGAATTTCCGTGAATTATTGTATGCTGACGTAATAATAACAACTAATAAATGTTTTCGCGACAAACGCTAAGTTTGCTATCTTCTATACTATTTTATTGATAATTAGTTTATTTTGTTCATAAAACATCAAAAAGACATGAAATTTAAAGAAACAATTATTAATTACGTAACTTGGATTCATACGGTGCGCCACCAAGTGCGCCAACAACTGTCTCATATCACGCAA